GATTTTGTGAAGGCTTTTGACAAGGTCAATTACAAGGCCATATTGTTCATGATGAAACACCTGGGCTTTAGCAACAAATGGATCAGATGGGTCACATCTATCCTATCACTGCCACTACCACTGTCATCCTCAATGGTGTACCTGGTAAGTGCATCCAATGCAAATGTGGTGTCAGGCAAGGAGACCCTTTATCTCCTTTGCTTTATGTTATGGTTGGAGAACTATTGCAAATTATGGTTAATGAAGCCTAGAGAAATGGAACCCTGTCCTTACCAATTGAGACCAACTATACTGAATGCTATCCCATCATACCCTAATTATCCTCCCTGCTGATGAGGAGAAGATTAGAAGATTCACTGAGATCTTAGATAATTTCTCCAAATTCACAGGGCTTGTAGTAAACTACATCAAATCATCTATGGTGCCAATTAATATCTCTGATGACAGAGCTCAGGAACTAGCTAATACTTTCATCTGCAGAAAAGAAGCAATGCCATTCACATATCTTGGCCTTCCAATGGGATCAACCAAGCCCAAAGTATCTAATCTGATGCCCATGGTATCTAGGCTTGATCACAGACTATCTGGTATAGCTTCCTTGATGACGTATTCAGGGAGACTTGTTCATCTCAAATCCATAGTTGCTGCTCTTCCCATATTTGCTATGTGATGCATTAGAGTACCTCTCACCATATTGGACCACTTAGAAAAATCTGGTAGAAATTCTCTTTGGTATGGCAAAGGTATCAACAAAAAGGGAAACTGTCTTGTCAAATGGGATAATGTTTGCCTACCAAAAAAAGCAGGGGGCCTTGGTGTTCTAGATCTGAGAATACAAAACAAAACTCTGCTTACCAAATTCATATTCAAAATTTTTAACAAGCATGATATTCCCTGGGTTAAACTTATTTGGAACAATTACTATGACAATGATGAGGTACCAAACTTCCCCACCAAGGTGGGATCATTTTGGTGGAGGGGTTGTTGCTCTATGTTGCAAGAGTTCAAAGACATGACTATATGCTATGCTGGTAATGGAAGTACAATCAAGCTATGGTCAGTCAAATGGTGCACTCATGCACTGTCCTACACAATGCCTCAACTTTACTATTATGCAAAAAATGTGGACATCACTCTAGCAACTGTCAGCAACATGGATGACAATGATTCTTATGACATGTTTCATTTGCCTATGTCCCCTATTGCTGTACAACATAGTAACAACCTCAGAGATCTGATCAATGGCAGAGATAACCAATCCTTACCAGACACATGGAAATTTTATTGGGATGGCACAAAATACTCTAATAAAAGAATATATCTGGAATACATGGGAAACCTTGCTGATGCTCCTAAACCCTATCAATGGATATGGAAGTCAAGTACCCTACCCAAGCAGAAATTCTTCTTTTGGCTTCTGCTACAAGACAGATTGAACACTAGAGACCTACTCAACAGGAAGAATTTCTACATTAAGACAAGCAAATGTGTGTTGTGTGATGATGAGCCTAATGAACATCTAATGCACCTTTTCTTTAGTTGTGATTTCAGCCAAAACTTCTGGATGAACATTGGTTATCAATGGGACACTGATTACAACCTCACTGAAATGCCCCTAGAGGGTAAGAAGCAGAATACCTCTGGTTGTTTCACAGAATGCCTAATAGCTGGATGTTGGAGTCTATGGAAGCACAGGAATAACGTCATATTTGATCACAAGACCAAGAATATGGCATACTGTCTAGCCACATTCAAGGAACACTTCAACATGATCATAAAAAAAGCAAAACCTGGATTGAAAGAGGGCATGCAAAGTTGGCTGGATTATTTGTAGATATTTTTCTTTCTTTCTTTGCCTTCATCATGTACATCCATTTGTAACTTTCCATCATATTAATGAAAATCAGAGTTACAGTGGGGGCCTTCCCCACTGTTTTTGCTAAAAAAATCACTTTTTGTATATCACATCAACTATCAAAGCTAGACGTATTTACCCCATAAGACTATTTCAGTATGGTTTAGAATGATGCAACAATAGTATTCGGTAGCACAATTAAAAGAATTTTTATTTATTTATTGAAGAAAAATCAAGAGATTTTGAAGAATTCAGTTGGAAACATTCGACAAAGATATTCCAAATAAAAACAGGATAGGAATAAGGCACTGCAAGAAATCTGTTGATCCGTTATGGTCCCAATCTGTCACATACCACTGCAAAACTTTGAGATTTTAGAAAGAAACTTGATTTTAGGCTATTATGCACAAATATTCCTTTATGTTCCTCTTGTTATGTAATATTGTATACGTATTATATTTTCAAATACCACATTAAGGTTTCTTGTGTAGTACTAGTGATCTAAACGCTCTTATATTTCTTCACAGAGGGGGTATCTTCCAAAAATATTTATCTAAAACGCTCGAAACATTTTGTACATGGAAGATACTAAATTATATTTGTTCATGTCAAAGTTAGTATCTCTTTAATTCATTTGCTATTATTTTATGTATTAAGTAAATTTCTAGCTATTTACTCGATATAATTCACAATCAAACTATATGTATGAAAAAAAGGACTCTGAACAAAAATCATATTTAGTTACGTCCATAACTTTGTAGCTCCTATCCAGTTTTTTTAAAGTTTCCTTGGAAAAGTTCAAACCTTCACATGTGTAATATTTATTTTTATTTTTATTTTTATTTTTATGCAATCTAAAATGTGATATGAAAGTACAAAAATTTGTATGGGGTCATGATCTCATAAGATAGTGTTTAAAATGTCTAACAATTTCACAAATCTTGGATCATGCATTGCTTTTCTGGCGGATGCATCTTGGAGTAAGCATCATATAATTCAAAGTTAAAATATGAAGTTTGAACTCCATAGAACATTTCTTTATTGTTTTCAGTTGAGATTTAGAGAACAATTTTTTTTGAGGGAGAGATTTAGATAACAACTTGATTTTACAATATTATGCATAAACATACTTTTATGTCCCATATTTTTATATAATATTTTTTTTAGTTTTAAATACTAAGTTAAGGTACACCATGTCGTATCTTCCAAAAAACACATTGAAAAGTTTCAAACATTTTCTGCATATAACATACTACATTATATTTGTGAATGTCAAAGGTAGGATTCTTAATTCAGTTGGTATCATTTAGGTATTAATAAATAAATTTCTACATTTACATATACAACTCAAAATTGAAGTACATGTATAAAAAAGCATCTAAATGCAAGAAAAAGGTGCCTATTTTAAAAAAGTAGCTCCTATCCATAAAACATATAAAATTCAAATGGTTGGCAGACTTATTCAAATTCATCAGAATCTTGAATTACCTTCTTTTTGTTAACAACAGATTAAATCCCACTATTAACATGCATGAAACCGACATGAATTTCTATTTTACGCTCGCACTTAGTTTAGGATTGCTATATATATGTTGCGTTTGACCAAGGAATTGATTGTAATATGTTTCGATGAGATTTAGTCATATGAAACATGAATATTTGGAATAATAATATGAGGCTGAAACTAAAATTTCATATGTTGATTGTGACTTGTTATTTGACATAATTGTATGGATATAAGAAAAAATAATTAATCACAACTATTTAGGAATAGAGGATAGGATGCCTAATGTCGGGATGCTATAGTGGATATGGTTCCACGTGCATCCGAAAACAGTAAAATCTAAAAATAGCAATAAAAAAGTTAAACAATTCTAATTTGAAAACATGGCCAAGTGTTATTCTCACATGTGAACTTCGTGAAGAAATGACATCCGTGGTGATTTAGGCGAAAAGACAAAAGCGGGCCTAAAATATGCTTGAACAATGGCTTTTCTAGAGCACCTATTTTGTCGTCCAGACCACGACGTATGTCACTTATACACGAAAATTTACATGTGAGTCAAATATTTGACTATGTTTTAAAAAAAATAGAACTGTTTAATTTTTTAAATCTGATTTTAATGTTTTGTCTGATGCATATGACCCATAAGCCAAACTTACGTGTCGGTGTTGGTTCCAAGTTCTTTTTTAGAGTGATCCTAAAAACAGTTCCTTTTTAGAGAAAAAAATATGTGCCATCGTCTAACTTGTGCGTGTGGTAGCGTGTGTGCACACACCACACGTGTTGTACTTGATGTTCCTTTTTGAAAGGAAAATTAGATCATAAAGAATAAAGAAGAATCAATATGCGGCTGGATGATTAGGGGTGGTTGTACACTGGAAAATACTAGTATATTTTTCTCATGTGAGACGACGCTCCCATCCCATTGATCTACAGGAAAGGTCGAGGACTACACACGGAGAAAATCGCAAAACAAAAGACGAAAGCCGAAAGACTCTGTGAATCTTTCAAAATTATAAACCCCGCACGAGG